GGTGGCCTTCCCCCACCCAGTGGGTCCTGTATCCTTTGTCCCGGCTAACAGGAGCAGCAATGGGTGGCAACAATTGAAGGGGGCAGCATGGCCGGCTGAGCGTACCCACCCACCCTAGGTTTGAACAGACTGAGGAGCAGACATCCCCGGGAGGCTTGGACTTGAGGCCCCAACTGGTGTGCCCTGCTCCTCCATGTCCCTGCTCGGCCTGCCCAGACCAAGCTCCAGGAAGGCCGGAGGTGTGTGCCCGTTGGCCTGTAAAGTTTGGAGACTGTACCAGTCACGTACGCGTGCTGGACCCTCTCCACCCACTGCGGGGAACCATGTGTTTGCGGGGCACTCCATCCTAAAACGAATCCATGCAGAAATGCCAGTTTCATTTTGATCTGAAGTCTAGGACGACATGAAGGAAACAAGGGGGAGCGTGGAGAGGGGCTAAAAATACTGTAGGATTTCCATCTACCTTTTCCAAGAAAAGAACCAAGGCTCCCTCTGGCCTGGCCTTCTTTCTTCTGAAGGGGTTCTCTGCCATTCAGCTCCTCCAGCAGACACCTGCTGGACGGGCACCTCCTGAGCCAGGCCCCGGGGGGATGCGGGTCCCCAGCCGCGGGTCCCAAGTCCCCATCCCCGAATGCTCAGGCCGGCGGCCACCAGAGGTCTGCAGTGGAACAGAGCCAGGACCGAGTGAGTTCTGGCACCGCCGGCCTCACGACTGAGGGACCACCGCCGGCCTCACACCTCTTGGAGCCTTGCCACCCGTGAAATAGGATGGGCGGTAGCAGCCGGCCCCGGGGATGGGGACGGGAGGACGATGCAGGTGCTGGTCCATAGCAAGAGTGTGTCGTTACCGGGGGTCCAGGACAGCTACCCCAGAGGTGACTGTGTCCACACCCAGTTCCCCTGCCTCTAAAAGTAGGTGGGTCCTGGTGGCTGAAAGGGCCTTTGTTTGTTAGGAAGGATGACAGATTGGGGAGGAAAGTCTGAGACCAAGGGACTGAGCTGAACTTTTCTGCCAGAAAGGAGCGAGATGCTGAGGGGGCGGGGCCAGGATGGTTTGGTGTCATTGGCAGGACAGAGACAGACACACAAAGACACACACACACACACACACACACACACATGCACACAGAATTGTCTTTGCATAGATGAGCATATGCTGGAGGGGAACCTGAAGTCTAACAGGGGATGCAGAGGTGTGGGGGGGGCGCTGGGGGTGAAAGCTCTCTCTCGCAGGGCTCCCCCCACCCTGTAAGAGGTCCATGAAAGCCCCCCTGTCCCGAATGCTCTGGTGCACTGGGCTTGTTCAGGGAGAAAGCGATGCAGGAACCAGTCCTGCTTTGGGGCCTGGGCTCCAGCCGCTCGCTGTTCCCATCCTGTGTCCTCTTCCAGGAGGGGACCCTTATTTTACCCTCACCCCTCCTGGACTCCAGGGGTGCAAGAGAGCTGGGCAGCCCAGGCCATGGAGCACCCTATGTCTTCAGCCAGATTAGCACAAGCCTGCCTTCCCAGGGCTCACCGCGTCGTGGGAATGTCAGGCCTTAGGTACGGGTGGGGCCCAGGGGAGACTGGGCCAGGTTTCCCCACAGGGAAACCGGGAACATCCTGTACTCAGGTAGATGGGTCCAGGGTCAGGGAAAGCAAAGAATGGCGGGTAGAGGTTGGAGGCAGGAAGCAGCAAAGGGCCTCAGGGAGGCGAGAGTGTGTGCATGTGTGTATGGGCATGCACGCGTGGGTGTGCACGCAGGGTGTGTGTGCTGTACGTCCACGGAGGAGGGAGGCGAGCGTGGGGAGCCAGCAGCCAGAGGCGGCCTAGAGAGGCCTCCCCATGAAGGGCCTTCCAGCCCAGGCCACAAAGCGGGACACTTCCGCCCAGGGCACCGGGCAGCAGCAGAGGGCTCTGGGCGGGCAACGGGAGGGCAGCCCCTCTGGCTGCCGAGTGCTGGCCCGGCTGGCCGGGGAGAGAGGCAGCCCAGACGGGCCACTCCTCAGACTCCCTGCGCTGCGGGCGGGTAAAACTTGGGGGCCGAGAACTCGTGGACAAACAAGAGCTCGTGAGCTTGGTTAGCTTCCCTCCGGTGAAAGGCACAGTCAACAAAGCCCAGCCCCCTGAGCAGCCCCCAAGGTTTGGTCCCAGCAGAGATCACACAGGCTCACGTCACACCCAGGGGGTGCTGAGACCCCGAGATATCCTCTCTGCTCCTGACTACTCTGATGTCCCGGTGAGCACGGGCCCCGTGTGAGATCTGGCCGTTGACCCGTCTGTAGAGATGTGGGGATACCGCTGTTCACACATTTTAAAGATGGGCTGGACGTCGTGGTTTCAGTAGAGTTGGTTTTGGTTTCCTTCATGATCTTAGGTATTTTATTGTAAAAACGCTATTTTAAGAAAGTGTCCCTGGGCTCCCAGGTGCCCGAAGGAGTCACACAGACCATGTCAAGACCCCCGAGATGGAGGGTGGGACCCCCTCTCTATCGTGCGGACAGGGGTTTCCCCAGATAATTTTTTTAAGATGATTTTTTGGTTTCCCCCAGATCTGTGTGGCCCTCTGTGGCCCCTGCACCCTCATCACCATCCTCTTCATCTGATGAGGTTGCCGGGCAGAGCGGGTGTCCCATTTCCACAACCGTGATGCTCCCCAGCCTGCTTTTGGGCAGGTTTTTGCCTGAAGCGCTACGGACTTTGACTATTTAGGGGGACTTTCATTTCAGACTTCTGGAGCACCTGCCTCAGAACGAGAGGTCTTCCGGCGTTTGGCGCGGGTCACGGCACACGGATCCCCCGGGATCTGGCTGAAGAGCAGAGTCGGCATCGGCAGGTGTGAGCTGGGCCTGAGACCCCATACCTGAGAGGCAGGGGTAGGACGATCTCCGGAGGACCTACAGCAAAGACAAAAACAGTAAGACGGTTTCTCACAGCCCAGCCCTGGAGACGCATAGGAAACGCTCCATCGGAGAAGGTTCCCTGGTGATGCCGTGCACAATCAACTATTAACCAATGATGTCACTCATTCAACAGACTCCTTGACCTATGGCTGGGGACTCAGTGGGGACAGGACAGGCAGCCTCCTCATGGGGGACAGACTAATCACGGACTCCTCTGTCTGAGCAGGTCTCCCAGAGCTCATGAAGCTAAAGCCCCGGGGGCCTCTCTTGCGCTCAGCTCTCTTCCAGGCCATGGGGTTGCATACACATGGGTTTCTCCACAACTGGAATGCCTGCAGAAGGTTCTGGTCCCACCACTCGTTTCTACCCCTGAAATTTCAGGGACAAGTCCCGTCGAGGGAACAGGTGGAGAGACTGGAGGCGGGGGGTGGGGGGGGGTGGGAGGATGGTGGGCCACTGGGGCAGACACAGAGCCACAGGCCTACACGGGCCACAGCCAGCTTGGGGCTCAGCCTGAGCTCCCTGGTGGCCGAAGTGAGACCTGATCAGGGATGTGACCTTCATTGTAGGGAGTTTGGTTCTTGGAGGGGACACCGGTGGCCATGGCCCACATATCTGTGTGTGAAAGGTTCTGTGGGTTGGGGGGGCACCTACGGCAGCAGGTCCTTTATCCTAATTTATAGAATCCCTGATCCTGATTTTTCACATGTAATTTACCAATTTATAACAAGATGTTTTGACGTAGATTACCATAAACATTTTTTGAACAAGGCTGGATATAACACATAGACCTGCTCCTAGCCCAGACGATGAGCTGCTTCTTTAAGGGGGTGGGGGGCAGCCCCAGCTGAAGGAGCCCCTCGGCTTCTTCAGGACCCAGGCTCAGCACTCGCCCTCCTGGGGCTTCAGCCTCCCCATCACAGGTGAGGCCCCACTGGCTGGCGTATGGGGCCTCCCTCAGGTCAGGGCAGGGAGCTCAGGGGTCCCCACAAGGGCACTGGAGTCCCCAGAGGCCTGGGATGCTCAGATCTCCACAATGGAGCCCTTCACACAAGGAGGTGGGGAGGTAACAGAGGGCCCAGCACCCCGGTGAGGGCAGAGCCCAGACAGGTCCCTGCCATTTCTGCCCTTTGCCTGGCCCTGCTGCCTTGAGGGGACCCTGCTGGTAATGGTCCCCCCACCTCCCCACCCCAATGTTAGCTGGTCTCCAGCTTATCCTGGCTTCCATGAAGGAGCTGGGAGCCACGGAGGGCCGTTCAGGGATCTCAGCCCCATCAGCTCAGCCCAATGGCCATTCTCCTTGGTTCTCAGACCAGGGACAGGCTTCCGGCCCAATTCCCAGTCCCGGTTCCCTGGAGGCTGGGGTCACTCACTCTTGCTCTCCCAGCTGCCCAGCTGCACCCTACCTGGGCCCCCCCCCGTTCCTGGAGCACCCTCCGAGGCCTGGGTGGCCACAGAGCTCGTGAAGTCAGTACACTCCCATCTCACAAATGACAAGACCAAGCTCCTTGTGGTTCTGCCGCCCCACCGCATATGCGCATCGTGAACCGAATCCTAGTAGACAGAAGCTCGTGCATGCAGGGGGCTCCTCCCGCCCATCCCCATGGGCTGGTGGCCCCTGTGATTTGGGATCAGGTGAGGCATCAGCCTTCCCTCCCTGACCACCTGACTCACAGAACTCTCCAGGTCCCTTGCGTTAGGCCTGCTCCCCGGGTACTCCCTCCCTACCTCCAAAAGAAAACAAACTCCACCCGAGGCGAGCACTCTGAATGGGGTCAGAGCGTTGGCTTCTAACCGGGTGCAAAAAAACACCCCCACCCAGCCCAGAAGGAACCTCACGTGCCCTTCTCCCCCTGCTGGCCACGCTGACCCCTGACCCTTTGAGCGAGCCCCTTCTCCGCCGTGGTCCCCGCCACTCCTGAGAGGCTACTCAGCTTTCCAGCTCTTCGTTCCAGGGTCCCTGGGCCCCACTGTCAGGACAGGACAGAGAAACCAGACACTAGGAGCCTGCCCGCCCTGGGAGTGGGGAGGGGAGACCCCAGCGAGGCGAGGGGCAATCTGAGGTGAGCACCGGGGAAGGATGTCTGGGGCCTGGCGTCGCAGACACAAGCTCGGGATCGGGGCACACAGCTTTATTCCATCCTCTTCCTGCCCGCGGCCGCCCTGGGCAGAGTGAGGACAGGCTGCAAGGAGGGCCTGGGACAGGGGCACACAGGAGGTCATGCCGTGGCCTGAGGTGAGTGGGAAGGGGGAAGGCGGGTCTGCTACCAACCCCCACTGCCCTGGGGATTGTTCCGGAGGCCTGGCTAAGCCGCAGGATTCAGTCTCCGTGGGTGTGGACGCTGGTGGGCTGGGGCAGGCTGGGGGGGGGGAGGCCAGGTCTGTTCGGTGCACACAGGGCTGACGAGCGTGTGTGGTGACCTGCGGGAGGCAGCGGAGCGGCCAACACCCCGAACGGAGCAGGGCCGGGGGCTCGGCTAGTGACGCTTTTTCCAACCGAGACTCAGGAAGGGCAAAGTGGCTAGGGCCCACAGCCGACCGGATGGGACAGAGTAAAAAAACTCTTGCACACACGCACCCCCCAGACACACACACGGGGTCAGCAGAAACTCGAGGCCGTCACACGATGCTCTGCCGACCCCCGGCCCCCTCAAACTCTGACGTGCCCGAGCCCCGGCCCCGGCCAAAGTCAATGAAGATCCCTTCCGAATCTGAGTCCACGGACTCCAAGATCTGGTCCACCAGGTTCTCCGGACTGGAGGAGGGTGGGGAGGGGCGGGCGGCGCCTGGGCCAGGTTCGGCGGGCTGGGCGGGGGGATACAGTTTGCTGGGGCACGGCCCTGACTGCGCGCCCACAGAGGGTCTGAAGGCCCCAGGGGGAGCCTGGCCGGGCGTGTCGGAGAAGCCCTGGGGCTCGGGGCAGGATGTCATCTCCGAGACCGAGTGCCTGCGGATGCCGGGGCCTCCGGGCGCTGCTCCCTCGGCCTCGTGCTCTGCCACGGGGTTCAGCAGTGGGGTGTTGTAGCTCTTGGAGCGCACCACCGGGTTCTTGGCCAGGACATCCCCCGAGCGGGAGCGGCGCAGGAAGTGCTTCTCTGCAGAGACAGACAGACAGACGAGGTGTCGGGCACGGGGGCCGGGGGCCAGGGTGGGAGGGGGCCACTTGGCAAACCCAGGCACCTGTGTGGTCCAGGCCCTTCCTGGGGCCAGAGGCTAGCCGGCAGCCACTGTGTGCTTAGCTCCACACAAAGGGCAGCCACAGGGAAAAACCCGATTGGCGCAGATCCTTGGCCCGGCCCCCTCACGCCCCTGCAAGTGAGAGGGCTCTGACACTGGGTCTGTCCCTATGTGTCTTCTTCCTCCCTTCTTCCGTCCGCGCTGGGGGAGGGGGAGGCTCAAATCAGCTGCTTGGTTCAAATGTGCACATGCCTCAGTTTGCCCACCTGTGGAAAGCTGAACAATCTGCGGCACTTCCAGGGTGCTTGGCGAGGAGGACAAACCCATGTGGGTGGGCCACAGGTCAGGTAGTGGTTAAGTGTCAGGGCGGGGGCGGGATGACACAGGGTCTTTTCACGTGAGGTAAGGTCAGGGCTGGGGTTTTATTTGGAGTGTGGCGGGTGCCCCGGGGGGGTGGGGGGGCCAGAAAAGGATGGCCGCAGGGGCTGGACTGGGTGGGGGGGGGCAGATCTCAGGCTCCCACTCAGGGCCCTGCAGTTCCAAAGAGCGACCACCATGTGGCAGGGCTGAGCCCGGTGAGCGGCTCAGGGGCCTTTCCAGGGCAAGAGACAGAGGCTCCCCGTCCGGCAAGCGGGGGCCTGCTGTCCAGCACCACACGGAGTCGAGGGGGGGCGGTGCTCAAAGTTCTCCTCTAGGTGCTGGGGCCTGCCTGGTGGCTGGGCTTTACACCAGCAGGTAGGTGGGCACTCCCAAGTGGCCCTTGTGCCTCTGGGCCCCTAGTCCAGGAGGGTCTTTGTGCACCTCTCCCCAGGCCTGGCTCCTCCTCCTTCAGCTCACCTGTCACTTCCAGTCTGGCCTTCCCCCACATGGCCCTCATATCACCTGGGTATGGGTCCCCGTGGAGACGCATCTGGGGATTGTTTACTCATTGGTCTGCCTTCCCTGGCCCTGAGAGCCCACGTGGGTGGGGCTTGGTCTCTGCTGATCCCCCACGGCCAAGAACAGGGGCAGGCACACAGCAGGTGCTCGGTTTACAGAGGTGAATGAACCAATGGGCTGTCTGTTAAAGGAGCAACATGGCGGGCTTCTGCCAGACAGGCCAGGCTGCCCCAGGACGCCCAGCTCCCCTTTCCCCTCCCCTGAGTCCCCAAACAAGCAAGGTTTCTTGGGCTCCGGGCCTTTGCACATGCTGTGCCCTCTGCTGGCCAACTCCCGCCTTTCAGGACTGAACACAGATGGGACCTCACTGGGAACACAGAAGCCTCTGTGGGGTTCTCAGGGGAGTCATCACATTACCATATATGGTGTCAGCCTGACAGGTCCCCTTCAGTTCTTGAAGGAGGGACCCCAGGCCCCGCATGCCCAGGGCCCAGCACACAGCAGGGCTGGGGGATGCTCAGGACAGGTCTGCTGCATGACCGAAAAGCACATCCCCAGTGGGATCTGGTTGTGGCCATCTATTCACTGGGAGGCCTGGACCCTGGGCAGAGGTGGATGGGGCCGGAGGTTACCCAGCTCCCCGCCCAAGACCCAGTCAAGCCCTACCCAGGATGCAGGAATGTGTGAAGGGGCCCTCGCCGGAGTAGAGGCCGTAGGTGCCGAGGTAGGGCGACACCACCTTCTGGATCAGCGTCTCCAGGCGCAAGTAGTCCTTGGTCACGCCCCGGGACTCGTGCACCCCCTGCAAGAGAGGGAGGGAGGCGGGTGGTCACTAGACAGCCTGTTCCTTGCCGCCCTGGCCCAGCCAGGCTGAGCTCGACGGTTACCACTAAAGGCCTCCCCTGGGGACCCCTGCCCTCACTCCTCACCCCATGGAGTGCTACAGGCAGGAAAGGCTGCCCCCCAGGGCCACCCAGGCCCTGTCCACCTTCTCCTCCCTGACACCCCTCGTCCAGAGCTCTGAGGGGATCTCTACCTCTTCCGGTTCTATCAGAGCCAAAGCCTGAGGAAGGCAGCCGCCCACAGGACAGCCTTGGTCTGGCTGATGGGGGGCAAGCTCTGTACCCCCAGCACCCCCAGCAGAGGCCTGGCACACAGTAGGCCCTTAGTGAGTGCAAAGAAATGGGGCATCCCTCCTCGAGGGGCCGCCAGTTGCTCACAGCACGAGATGCTCTTAGAATGTTAGATGACAGCTCTGGACAGTACGAGAGCTCCCCGCCACGCCGCCCACGAGAAACCCACTTCAACTGGAAAAACACACACAGACTAAAAGCAAAGGGTCGAGGGGTGCCCGGGTAGCGCAGTCAGTTAAGGGGCCGACTCCTGATTTCGGCTCAGGTCATGATCTCAGGGTCGTGGGATCGAGCCCCACCTTGGACTCTGGGCGCACAGAGTCGGCTTAGGATTCTCTCTCTCCCTTTGCCCCTCCCTCCAATCAATCAATCAATCAATGCAAAGGGTTGAGAGAGCTGTGCCACGCGGACTCCAATCACAGGAAAGCCGGAGCAGCTAGGTTAATTTCAAGGTTAATTTCGGACAGGGTGGATTTTAGTCCAAGGAACGGCATAAGGGCCAAAAAGGTCCCTATGTAACAATACAGAGGTCAATTCTCTGGGACGACATAACAACCCCTAACATGCCTGCACCTAACAACAGAGCACCAGACCACGTGAGGCAAAACCACTAGAACCTCGGGAGAGATCGTTAATCCACTAGGGGAGACAGACCAGCAGGCAGAAAACCGGGAAGGACACACTGCGCTCACCACTACCATCAACTGACGGGATCTAATCGCCATCAGACTGCCTCCCCCCACGACAGCGGAACACACATTCCACAGCTCACGTGGCACGCCTGCCAAGTCAGACCATGTTCTGGGCCACAAAACGCAACTTCACAGATTTAAAAGGAAATCATACAGTGCCTGCTCTCAGGCCACAGTGGTGTGAAACCAGGAATCGGGAACAGGAAGATAACTGGGAGATCCCCAAATATGTGGAGAGTAAACAACTCACTTCTTTTTTTTTTTTTTTTAAGATTTTATTTATTTGACAGAGAGAGACACAGCGAGAGAGGGAACACAAGCAGGGGGAGTGGGAGAGGGAGAAGCAGGCTTCCCGCCGAGCAGGGAGCCCGATGCGGGGCTCGATCCCAGGACCCTGGGATCATGACCTGATCCGAAGGCAGATGCTTAACGACTGAGCCACCCAGGTGCCCCAAACAACTCACTTCTAAATAACCCATGGATCAAAGAGGAAATCTTTTTTCTTTTTGATTTTATTTATTTACTTGACAGAAAGAGAGAGCATAAGCAGGACAAGCAGCAGGCCAGAGGGAGAGGGAGAAGCAGGCTCCCTGCTAAGCAGGGAGCCCGACTTGGGGCTCGATCCCAGGACCCTGAGATCATGACCTGAGCTGAAGGCAGACGCTTAACCAACTGAGCCACCTAGGTGCCCCCAAAGAGGAAATCTTAACAAATATCTTAAAATGTTTTGAATGAAATGAAAATGAAAACAGATCCGCACTGATGGGATGCACTGAAGCTGTGCTTTGAGGGAAACTGTAGCATCAAATGGATATGTTAGTAAAGGGAAAGCCCGCAAGTCAATAACCTAAGCTTCTACCTTGGGAAACTAGAAAAAGAAGAGAACGAAGTCCAAGAAAGCACAAGAGAAATAACAGCAGAACTCAATGAGACTGAAATAGGAAATCCTTAGAGAAAATCGATGCAAACAAAAGCTGGCTCCTTGAAAAGCCCAGTAACATCACTAAGCCTCCAGCCAAGCTGACTACTAAAGAGAGGACACTATTTCCTCACGTCAGGAACGAAAGAGGAGCCATGACTACAGACCCCACATTCCCTGGAACTACCTCCACCCCCAGCAACAGCAGAACAGATGAACAAGGTGCTCCGCTCAGCGGGGCGTTCGTGAACTTCACGTTGTTTCATTCCCCAGACTTGTAAAGGGTGTCTGTCTCTGCCCTCTGCTGCACAGTGAGAGATGGGGGCCCAGGGGCTGCATTACTGGTGAACACTCAGATGCACAGCTGCTCCCCTGGCTTCCCTGGGAGAATGGTCACTCTGCCCGTGAAGCACGGGGTACATGATAGGCCCTTGACACATGCTAACCAGCAGCTGTGACTTCAGATCCATCAGGGACTCGAAAACAGTGGGGACAAGCTCACTCAAAGTGCAAGCCAGGTGGGGAGTGGGCAAAGGGGCAGGAGGGCAAGTCTTTGGGGCAAAGGGGCCAAGCGGAGGAAGCTGCGTGAGGCAGAGAGGCCACCAGGGGGCAGCACCACCCCAGTCTGGCTACCCACCTCAGTGCTTTCATGGGATCATGGTGGGACCTCCTTGGCTCTAAATCCCAGTCCAGCCACTGTGGGCCCCCAGAAGCACCACAGAAGGCTTTACACCATTTCTTCCCACTGTCCTTGAACCTGCCCTGCAGGCAGGAATTCAATCTGTCACACAGGTGGAAAGAGGCTGAGAGACACAAAGTCCTTCGAGGTCCCCTGCTTCAACCCAGCCAGGTCTCACCTAAAATCCTTCCAAATCCCAGCGGCAGGCCCAGCACCCTGCTTCGCTGCCAGGACGACCACCAGCTCCTGCCCAGCGCAGTCCCTCGACCCTCAGACCTCCACATTCATCAGGCCCTTCCTTGCTCCGGAATATTCACTGGCTGCCCTGGACCCTAGGACCAAACTCGCAGACCCTAATTTAGGATACCCACGTGCATGGGGGGATGCAGAACAACGAACAGGATTTTGGAGCGGTCAGACGTGGGTGAGGCCAGGCCTCGTTAGCTCTGGGCAAACGAGGACTCATTTCCCACCTGTAAAATGGGGTGGTGACGGGATGCAGTAGTTTGCAAAAGGCCCTGTTTACAGTAAAGGCTGTTGGTGGCCCATCAGATCCCCTGCTGTCTTGGGCAGGCCACTCATCCCCAGCTTGTGGCTGCCCCCTTCCCAAAGTTGCTCTGTCGGGTGAAATCCATCCACACCAGAAACATCTGGAACCACTGTGGGGGGGGGTGACCAACAGCCCCTGCCCACGAGGGACAACTCTGGGCCCCTTCACACTCCTGGGCTCCCCATGGGATGAGGTTGAGGCCTGCTTCTCTTTAACTCCCATCTTCCCCCAACACCTTCTGGGCTCCTCCTGCTTCCCTCTCTCCTTCCGGGTTTCTCCTGAGAGTCTCTCCATTGACAAGTCACATGGACCCAGATCCTCGCCTCAGGCTCCGCCTCTGGGGAGCCCAGCCTTGTGCCCAGGGATGCTCCTGCCACAGGAGTGCGCAGTGGCCCCCTCAGGGCCCCACGCACCTGCAGCACCAGCAGCATCTGCACGATGGCAGGGGGCACGCGGGCGTGGGCACGGGCCAGCGCATCCTCCAGCTTCACGCTCAGGGTGATGGCATTCCGGAAGTGCAGGAGGGCCAGCTGGCGCACAGACGGCTCCTTGCCCTGCAGAAACAGAAGGCCGCGCCCCGCCCTGCTGCCGTCACACGAAACCCCCACTTCCCTCCACATCCGATGATCTGGGACCAGATCCCGGGTATACGGTCTCGTAGACCATCGGGCCCCCTTCCGCCCCGTCCTCCTCCCTGGATGACCCCTGTCCCAAGGAGAGGCCCCAGTCAGCTTCCTCAGGCAAGGAAAGGGTAACTGTCACAAACCAAGCCCCTCTGGTGTGTTGGGCAGGGCCTACTATGTGCTGCCCAGGGCTTTATAGGGCCTGTAGGAGGGGACTGTCCTTAGTTCCAAATTGTGGGTGGAAAGCGGTTCTGAGAGGTCCAGGGACGTGCCTATCCCCAGGCTGGGGGCACCGTGCAGCAAGGCTGGGATGGGCGGTCGCCTGGGCCCTGGGGGTCCCACGGCTGCAGGGGCCGTTCACCTGCACCGGGTAGAAGATGGCCTGCAGTGTGGGCAGCACGTCACTGAAGAAAAAGTCCCACGTCTCTGCCAGTGAGTCCAGCAGTTTCTGTCCTGTGGGTACAGACAGCCATCACTGCTCACCCCTCCCAGGCCGGAGTCCTCTCGCCCGTCCGCAGGAAGACACGGGAGCTGAGGGCTGGGCTCCGGGCCCTGGAGGTGCCCCCCTGCCCCCAGGTCGATAGCACGCAGCACTTAGCAGCTCTGTGGTCGGGGGTCCACGGTGTAGTCTCCCTGTGCCTCAATTTCCCCATTAATAAAACGGGACAGCGAGAGAGCCGACCTCCCAGGGCTGTGGGGATGAAATGAGCGGAGACGGGGTCCAGGGCAGAGGAAGAGCTCGTAAGCACTGGCTGCTGGTTCCCATTCCTTCATCCCACACCAGACCCGCACAGGAGCGCCCCCCACGCCTGACGGCAGTTGCCGCACACAACCATCTCCTCCGATTCCCATGGTGACCCGCCCCCCTCCGCCGCCAGCAGGTGGGGAATCTGTCCACCCATGCAGGCGTTTGCAGAGCACCTGCACTGGGTACTGGGGACCCAGCCCAGGACAGGGAAGCAGGACCCTCAATGGCAACTATGAGCACAATCATCATCCCATTGAAGGGGTGACCTCAGTGGGCAGACCAAGAAACAGAGCCTCTGAGAGGTTCAGGTCCTTTTCCTCCAGGGCCCTGGGCCCTGCCACCCTGGGTTGCCTGGGGTGGGATCTGGGGAGCCAGGGAGGCCACGTCCAAGAACAGCATGTCCCAGGTAGGGAAGGGAAGCAGTAAAAGTGGAGAGGATCAGGCCGGGAGGGCTTCCTGGAGGAGGTGCTACCCAAGCTGATTTAGGAGGCTGGCTTTGCCAGGTTGATGGACATCCTCAGTGTGGGATCCACACAAGCAGATGTGTGAAAAGCAGCCATTTGGTCAAGCTCTGGGTTATTTCTGCCAGCCCTGCAGAAGGAGCATGCCATCCTCAGGGTGGGCAGCCCCTGAGGGATGAGGACAGATGGAGGTGTCCCTGAGCTGGGTCGGGGCTGCCCCAGGAAATGCAAAGTGCTGAACCCTCAGCCCTTCTGCCTGGAATGAACAGAAAGCTGCTGTGTCTGGGATAAGCAGGTCCCAGGACATGTCGCCCAAGGCCTCTGCTGCTCGGTGGGACCCCCACCTGGAAGTCAGACTAAGGACTGGTGGAGAAAACCTGGGTGTGCTGGGGGTCTCTGGGTGAGGAGGTGAAGTGCCACATGCGGGCCGGCGTCCCAGACTATACTGCTTCGAGACTTCCATGGGAACCAGGGAGCCAGACAAAGGCCTTCACCTCTTCTTACTTTCCTTGGGCTCTGGGCCCCACACTTCCCCTGCCCATTAAGGCCCAAGTCTGTGTAGGTTCGGGGGCTCTGGGAGGGGAGCCTGCTGGGGGCGGCCCCAGGAAGCCCATCCAGCCCAGCGGGCGGCCAGGGTGCTGTGGCCTCTGAGCGTGGCCAATCTGCCGGCACTGGGGCTCTCTGCCCGGCAGCCAGCTCCCGACCCTCCCTGGGGGCCCACGCCTAGCTCTGCAGAACCCAGGGTGGGTGGGTGCCGCCGCCCGCGGAGCTCTGCCTGTACAAAGGTCCCTTCAGGTCCCCGCTGTCCCTGGCAAGAAGAAAGGTGGCTCAGTTCCCCGGGCTGGCCGTGGGGTGGCTCTGGGCACGGGCCAGGCCGGCGCCCGCAGGCTGCTCTCCAGCCCACGGGACGGAAATGCTGTGGAAAGCAGAGGTTGTAAAACACTGCCTTGAGGCCCCATCAGCGCTGCACACTGACCGAGAGGCCAGGAAGCACGGCCTCGCCCACCGGCCAAGTTCTCCACTGGGGCCCGTGGCCTAGGGCTGCAGGCGAGGGGGGTGGCAGGGCTGTCTGAGGCGACAGCATCAGGACCCTCGGGGAGTCCGGCAACCAGAGCCTCAGTGTGATCCTCCGTAAGATGGGTGTGAATGTCCTCGTGCGCACTGGGCAGAAAGCTGCCACGTAGCAAGTGCTCACTAAGTGTCGGCTGGGGGCATGGCCACCGGTGGGCCTGTGTGGGCCGTGTCCGTGCAGAAGCTCAGCAGAACCCAGGTTCTCCCCTGGCGGGCGGGACCATCTGTCTTCCTCTGTTCAGTCCAAGCGCTGAGGGCCCGGGAGACTGGAGTGCACCAGGCTGATCTTGGCTCGGGTCTTAGCCCCATGACGACCACAGGGCAGTGGAAAAGGCCACAGCAGGAGCTCCGAGGAGGCGAGCTAGCCAGGACGACGGCCCAGTGGAGTCAGGCCCACGGGCCGGCATGTCAAGGCCACTGGGGAGTTTGGCCAGATGGCCTGTAACAGGCTGGGATTCCTGTTGGACAAGAGAGGGCCAAGCCCAAGGCCTGGAGCCTGCAGGAGCCCCCGAGCTCCTCCCTGGAGTCCTCGGGTGTCTGGCCGCTGAGGAGTCAACCTGGCGGCAGCCGGAGCCCACTCCTGTAAGCCAGGCTTGGAGACCACGGAACCATAGCCTTAGGCGTGGTCTGGGAGGGAGACTCCACGTCAAGGCTGTCCCTCCAGGCCTCCTGTTTCCAGGAATCGCTGTGCTCGGGAGCTGATGTCCAAGGCCTGGCTGGAGGCTGGAGGCTGGAGTGGGGGCAGGCGGCAAGGTCCTGGGGCTGGCCACGTGAGGCCACCCACCACCCTCCAGCAGAAGCACAGGTGAGGACGTGGCTGGCCACAGGGAGCGGTCTCAAGGAAGAGCTGCCCTGGGAGCCAAACCGGGGCAGGAGGTGGATGCGGCAGGCTCCAAAGGCCACCCCTCAGGGTGCGGCATCAGCGACTGTCCCCCTGGCATGGACTGAAGGGCCGAACGTCTTCCCGGACAGACCACATTCTGAGGTCTGACTCAAGGACCACTGCTTCCATGGAGTCCTCCCTGACTGCCAAGAGGGAACTAACCCTTCCGTCCCCGGGGCTTCCCTTCATCCTGACATTCATCACCCTGAATTGTCACTGTCTGGTCCACGTCTGTGTCCCCAACTGGACTGTCAGTCCCTGCTAGGCAGGGCTGGATCTCCTCCATCTCCAGGCCCCCAGAGACTAGCTGGGGCCTGACCCAGAGTGAGCACATGGGTGGAGCCCATCCAACCCCACGGTTCTAAGATTGGGACACTGAGGCTGAGGTCTGTGGCTGGATGGGAACTGGAGGCCAGGGCCTATGGCCCCCAGACTGGGGCTCCGTGCCTGGCCCCGAGGCCTGGGGAGGCTGGACGGGGCTGGCACTCCCCGCTGGGTGGCCTGGCGGACACGGCCGCTGAAGGCAGGGCTCGACTAAGCTGCACAAAGCTGCTCTTCTCTGAAGCTCCCAGCTCCCCTAGGCCGGAGCCGGTGGGAGGCAGAGGCACTGTTGGAATGTGCCGAGTAAGTAGAGGGGCGTGGGAGGGCATCTCTGCCAGGTGCCAGATCCTCACTGCCCTGACTGCCGGACTCCGTTGCCGCCTCCTCCAGGAAGCCAGCCTCGATCCCTGGCGGTCTGTGCCTCTCCCTCCCCTCGACTGCGGTTCTGGTGGCCCTTCCCAGGCTCCTGCCTCAGAGCTTCCCAGCTGATAGAAGCGGGAGGCGCAGAAAGAGCAGGCGACACGCAGCTGAGTTCATCCAGAGCACACTAGGCCACTGACCTGTGTCCTCCTCCGGGAAATGGGCTAACACCCCTTCTTTGTAAGGTCAGAGTAAGGATCGAAAAAAGAACGGAAGCAGCAGTGGAACCAGGCTGCCACACAGGGTCGTGTGGCCCCGGTGCCTCAGTTTCCCTGTATGTGCAGCGGCTGCAGTGATGTGTCTCGTGCAGGGTTGCTGGGAGAGCCTGAGTTAGGAGCCGGAGAACACTCAGGACGGTCCAGCAGAGAGTAAGCAAGTGCCCAGGGCCTGGTGCACAGGAGATGCTCAACCAATGTTCACGGAGCCAGAACTGAGCACAGGGACTGGCACAAACAGGCCTTAGTGGAGGTACTGGGGTTTGAGCTGGGCCCTCCCGTAATTTGAGCTCTCTCTCTCTGCCGATTCACTCCTACAAGGAGACAACGCTTCGGTCGCTGCCCCTGGCGCTGGAGCTCGCGGGCCTCCAGAAGGGCCAAGGGCGTGTGCGCTGGGGCCAGGCTGGCCCGGGCTCGAACGCACCCCCACCCTCTACTCACAGTGTGGCTGCAAACAAATCGCCTGCCATCATTACGCTGCTCCCAGCTATGAAATGGGCACAGGGACCCGAAGTCCTCATGGGTGGGTAGGAGCATTAAAAGAGAAAACCCGTCTAGAAGGTCCAGCACCAGGCTCAGGCCCCAAACTCTGATGGGGCAGCTCCTTCCAGCCAGGGGACAGCCCCTGGCTCCCACCTCCTCCTTCAGGAACATCAGGGCAACAATAGGTCCTCAAAGATCCTGTTGGGGGTTCTCCCAAGATGCTGAGATGGGGTTCACTGGCACGAGAAGGCCCCGGGAGCAGTGAGGGTGGAGGCAGAGCCTTTTCCTTGATGTCTCAGCCCTCTTGGGCTCCAGCAAGTTGCGGGGTGGGGGTGGGGGAGCAGATGCTCTCCCTATTAAGGTCCCCTCCTGGGGTCAGATCTTGGCCTTGCTGCCCCTGCTGCCCTCCCACCTGGAGCCCTGGGGACACAGGCAAGGCTGGGAGGGCCACACGTCCCAGCAGGGACACCGGCATTCGGCGCATTCCCACACTCGGTCCCAGCTGCGGGGCCGCCACACTCACCCTCATAGAAGCGGATCTTGTCCCGCAGGATCACCATGCCTTTAGTCAGCAGCTGGTTCTGAAAAGCACACACAGGCAAGCCGTTACTGCCGCGGGGGTGCGCAGGCAGGCAAGGCCCCCAGGAGCCCCCCCAGCCGGCAACCGAGGTCCGGGGCGGGGGCTCTTACCCATGTCCCCCCACCCCCCAGCCTGTTTCTGGTAGAGCTTGAACCTCAGCTCGCCCTGGGAGGACAGCGACGGCCCCTCAGAGACAAGCCGAGTAGGGCAGGTGGCCGCCTTCACAGTCCCTGATGGAGGAAGGCCTTTCAAGCAAGAGGGGCCCCCTGCCTCAAGTCCTGGCGTGTGAACCCTGACGCCCCAAGCGCGGGGGTCATGCTGTCACGCTGCCCCAGGCGTCTGGGCTGAGAATGACACCTGGTGGGCTCAGCACCGCCACCAGTAGCCAAAAGGTAGAAGCGTCCCCAGCGTCCCCCATGGGTGGACAGACACACGGGGTGTCTCTGGACTTGGAATCTCACATGGCTGCAAAAAAGGAGCGAAGCGCGGACTGACCCAGGAATTAGCGGTGTCAGGACACTGAAGGCCCCCGAACCGTGCACTTTAAATGGGCGCACTGCACGTGAGTTCTGCCAACCCTGACCCCGCGTGAGGGGAGGCCCCTCTGCTGGCGGGTGGGCCCTCGCTCGAAGCCCACCCCCGCCGCTGCTCCCCGCCCTTCCTTCCTGGCCCTGTGCCCCGGGCCTGTGGTCGTGTATGCGTGGACTCTGCAGGCTTGTTGGCCCAAGGAGGTGTGACAAATGCAAAGTAAGGCACGGCCTGGACCAGAGCGGCCTCTCGATGCTAATGCCAGGCCAACGGCGTCACCGTGTGGCTCAGGGCGCTGGGGCCGTGCAGTGACGCAAACGTGGACGTCTGCGAGCCCACCCTGTATTCCAGGAGGTGAATGACCCTGAACAAAGCCAGCCCTGCGTCCTGCCACGTGCCGGGGTACGCACAGCACGAAGACTTCACCCGCATCGTTATCATTAACCTGCACAACGGCCACACTGGCTAGACAGGGAAACTGAGTCATGGTGCTGTGGCAGTCCTTGGAACCTAGCGCTCCATGTACCCACGGAGAGTAGGTGACCCCTGTCCTTTCTGGCCAGCTCAGAAAGCAACCCCAGCCTGCTCGAGAGCACAGACCACCCACCTGCAGGTACTCGGTGAAGAAGGACCCCAGCTCCGTCTTCAGCAGCTGCCTGTGGGCGGGAGGGGACAGGACAGTGAGGGACAGCAGGGCTCAGAGACCACGGGTGCTGACAGGGGGGTCACCAGGGCAGCTGGGAGGCCGACCTACTCAGCCCGGCGTGAAGGGTGGGCACGCGCCGTCAGTTCTGTCCCAGCAGGGGGCTGGGGGGTGGGGGGGGCCCCGGGCCCCCGTCCTGTTCAGCTGTGGCTCTGTAGGCTCCCACCACCATTTCACACAAGCAGAAGCTGAAGGCTCCCCACAGCAAGAGTGAGGGCCACGGCATCTGTCACGTCCTCAGGGAGACACTGGCACTGCTGGGCCTCCAACCCTCCGCTCCCCCCCACCCCGCACCCCGAGCAGGCAGCATGGCTCCCGAGGGCATCTTCACGGCCCTCCTGTACTCCGTCAACCCAGCAGCAGGTGCTCATTCCGGTTCCCTTCTACAAGCGAGGCAAGGGAGGCTCAGAGAGGTCCAGTGACTTGTCCAAGGCCACACAGGGCACAGCAAGTCAGGGTCTGAACCTCGTCCTTTGTACTCAGGTTGACAGCTCTTTGTACCGCACACCTCTGGGGGCCGAGAGAATGGTGGGCGTCCTGGTCCAGACCTGAAACACTTGGGCACTGTCAATGTTCGGCCCAACACTCGACCTCCCCTCTCATCTCGGTCAGCCTTGGAGCTGTGTGTGTGTGAGCGCGCGCACACTTGGGGGGCACTGAACTCACCACCCCCATACCCGCGAAGAGGGTGCTCTGGTCCTCAAAGGCCTTTTAGGGGTGGCTACACTCTACCTTCCTGGTGCTGAAAGCGGGACCCCCAGGACTGGCTGTCCCCATTGGGGATGGGGGCCTGGGGGCTAAGTGAAGCAGAGAGAGGGCAGGCGGGTTGTGTGAGGTGACCAGCACCCCAGGAGCTGAGCAGCAGGCATCCCTGGAACCCGGGCCTTCGGGAAGGATCGGGAAGGTGCAGAGAAGATGGGGTGGGGACACGAAGAGGGCCACGTTTCCTGAGCAGCTCTCAGGGGCCACGGCCACATCAGGCCAGTCACAGACCGAAGCTCACGACAGCCTGACAGGTGGTCCTGGTATCCTTGGATGGGATGAGTGAGGACCCTGAGGGTCAGAGCACCTTCGGCTGTCTGGTGGCAGCCCCGGGGCCCTGTCCCCAACCCCTGGCTGGCAGCTTCTCTTAGCACAGGACCAATCCCATGTCACAGCCCAACGCCGTCCCCAAGTAACCGTCAGGTTAACGGTGGCGACACTCACCACGCTGAGCTCCACCTGCGACAGCGAGGGGATGTGAAGCCCACGGCCCCCTGTGGTCAGCCCCCTGCGGTCAGCCCCCTGCCACAGTCTCTCTACCTTCTCCCAATCATCTGCGCCTCCAAGGACCAAATGTGACCTCAGCTCCTGTGTGACCCCCACATCCAAGCTCAGTGTCTATCTCAAGGTCACCACATGCATGACACAAGGGGCCACTCTGGGCAAGTCCAGAGAGCAAAAGGCAAGGAGAGAGGGTCTTCTCTTAGGCCAAGGCTGAGTCTGGGTGAGTCCCCTCAGCCCGTGAGGGGCCAGAGGGCCAGCCCCAATGCCGCCAGCCCACCGTGTGATGCTGGGCAAGTCCCCTCCCCTGCCTGAGCTCCAGCACCCTCATCTGGCGCCCGAGACATGCCAGAAGGTGGAGGAGGAGGGTCTGGGGTGTCAAGTGAGACCATGGCTTACACTTGGTATATACAGCAGGTGCTCAGTAAAGCCCTCCTCACCCTCTCCCTGGCCCGTAGTCAGTGACAGTGAGTATGAACATGAATGAATGAATGAATGAATGAATGAATGAATGAATGTCTCCTTCAGGGCCTAGCAGACCCTCTGCCCCACTGCTGGCTGCCCGGGGGCTCCCCTCACCTCCTGACATTCCTCTTAACTCACTACATGAGCCCCTGAGCAAGGGCGAGGGGCATGGCCAGCCAAGCATCCCCCAATTTGTGCTGTGCCCACAGGATCTCCCAGCTGCCGATGAGGGGAACCACGCTCATTCCACAGATGTGGAGACTGAGGCCCTGGGGGGCAAGAAGTGAGGTCCCTGTGGGGCCTGCTGGTTAGCTTACTCCCATATCCTTAGGGGAGCTTCAGGCGGGCCTATGCACCCCGGGACACCACCTGGGAAAGGCACTGCAGGGGGAACAGCCCGGGTGTCATCTGAGGGGAGACAGACAGCCACAGAAAGGGGCTGGGGGGGCAGAGACCGAGGCCAGGGCCACCCTGTCCAGATGGGCCTGCTGGCTCCTGGGAGCCGCAGGGCCAGTGGGACATCGGGCTGGAGCTGGGGCATGGCCAGATGATCTGCATCCCACCCAGAGCCCAGGAGGCAGGAGAAGGGGCCTCTCAGGAGCAGAGCAGGTGGCCGAGCTCCTGCCCATAAGCTTCCAGATGATTCTCCTGGCCCCAGGGAGACACCCTGGCAGCAGCTGCACGGTCAGGACAGGCCCGAGAACGCAGAGCAGCCTGCACCACTGGGCATGGGGCAAGAGGCCTTTCACAGCTGAGCGCAACCAGGGCATCCTGGGGCCTGATTCTGTTTAAGAAGGTGGGGTGCGGGCGCCTGGGTGGCTCAGTTGGTTAAGCGACTGCCTTCGGCTCAGGTCATGATCCTGGAGTCCCGGGATCGAGTCCCACATCAGGCTCCCTGCTC